GAAGGAAAGAAGAACAGTCGAGTTGTGGAACAAGTTTTCGACAAGGGGAAAGATTGTGTATAAACCTGGATCGCGGAATGTACTCAATGGAACGTGGCGTGTGCCTGTACATGTGTGCAGCATAGACTGGCCTGAGGGCACTATGAGCGTGCTTGTGTGGTGCATCTAAGTGCGTAGGTAACCGTTGGAAGCGACACAACCGACTAAGGCCACCGTGAGAAAAATTGGGAATTAGAAGAAATATATATGTGTGGGGTACCGAACGATAAGTATGGAAATGAGACTAAACAAAAGAAAAGGCGATTCTGAATGAAAACAGGATTAAGAAATGGTCTTCGCGGATATCGATGGTGCCTGGGGGGGAGGGAGGGGGCGAGTAGCGTCTGTATTGGAAGGTTGAATCTTGGACAAACCAGTGAAGAAGCGAAACACGAGAAAACAAAGTGAACAAAAGTGTTCGGTTGAGGATGTGCGAAACGCAACAAACAACTTCAAACACAATCAGAACACACGTGTGTAGCTTGTTCGTGGTGTATGTGCAACTGGAGTGCGCCGAGGATGAGACTGAATGGGACAGGGAATGGAAAGTGGCTCAAAGCCCTTAGGTGAGTTGTCGGCATCACAAAATGTTTTTGGTTCTGTGTGTGAGATAGAATCCGCTGAATTCAGTCCCGAAACAGCAGACATATATTGATTGTGTCGACCAGAGGCAGACATCAGCGATGCGGTTAACTAAGAATTGGCCATTTTCCGCCATTTGCAGAGGCGCCTGTGATAGTTCTTGGCAAATGCATTCACGATGGATACGACAAACGAGCAGATGCACAGACACACCGCGAGCATTATAACAGTCTGCAGCCAACTTTGACGCTATAGGCGGAAAAGTTGAACGGTGGCATACATGATGAAAATGAAATATGGAGTGGGCAGCACATATTCCACACGTAGACTACAAAGAAAATCTCACAAGTATCGGGCAAACTGGTTCTAGAGAGAAAAAATGAGAATTATGTTGTACAACTCGACAATTTTTCTTCAGAAAATGAACAATTTCCGTCCGAGTCGATGGTGTTTTCTATCTTGGTCGTCCCCTCTAGATGCTAGCGTTCACCAAAGTTCCACACTTGTGTCACCCTTTTTCTTTTCTTCAATAATCACCTTCTGTCCAAAACCTCTAGTTCTATTCGTTGTTCTTGTTGTTCTCTTGCTCATCCCACGACCAACTAGCCCACGATCAACATTGACCATGACAATACTGCTATTAGTCTAACACTTTCCAAGTCTGACTCAGTGCTTCCAAAACTGCCCCCCCCCCAATCTCCTTTATCTACTCCCAATTTAGTTTTCACTCGCTTTTGCTTCGCTTTGAAAAAGTCCTTTCTCTCTTACCCATAAATTCTCCTCTCTGTTGGTCAGCATTTAAATCCATATTTGCATTCCAAAACTGCCCGGGTTCCATATCCAGCACCAGACGTTTCATGGCACTCGAAAACCATATCCTTTCAGGTAAAACTTTAATCCGTTCAACGCATGATCATTGAGGTCACGTCTGAGGTGGAGCTTATCTCTTCTTACCGGGTTCAACGATTGAGCAACGGTCTCTCTCTCCAACTTTTAATCTTCAGTGTCTTTCCCATCGCCGAGCAGTTGCCTCAGTAACCTTTTGATATTTTGGTTTCTATTCTTCCGAATTTGACATTTCTCCAGACGACAACAACGCTGATCGAAACTTAAGTGGGTTGAAGGTGGAGCATTTAGAACCTTCATCGTTGCAAGACTGACGCCGATCAGCATCAACGATTTTAATCAAGCCCGAACAATAACAGCATTGGGACAACCACTTAGCGCGTCCTCCGGAATTTCGTTGAACAGGAAAGGCGAAAGAGGGCACCCTTGACGAACGCCGCTGCTGGTGACGAACAGCCTACTTAGTTCGTTGTAGACCCTTACAAGACAGGAGTGGAGGTATGTGAGTACAGTGACCTCAGTAGGTTACCATAATTCTGGGGCATTTCTTTTCGAAGAAGGGAACCCATGAGAGCTTCGCGGACAATGGAATGGAAGGCTTCTTTCAGGTCAAGGAACATTGCGATCGTTGGTCGACAGTGTGGTCAACTAACGAAGAATTAAATGGGAATCGATAATGGAACAAATGTTATCAAGAAAAGCCTGTAAGGTGTAAAAAAACACGGGATATGTACAGATGCATCTGTACCTCGGTTTTTGGCACCCCACATTTTTATCCACTGACTGGGCGGATTCGGAGCTGTACCCAACTAGCCTGCGTGACCAGGTCATTGATCAACATTCTCATAAATTCATAGTTGCCCTTCATCTTGCTGTGATAGCTATTTGCCTGAGCAAACCTAAAATTTCGAGGAAGTCTATTTGACAACATGAGTACCACGTTCCCCGGGCTATTAGAACTGATGGAGATCAAGCATCATGGTACGTTGAGACTTACTGTGGATGCAGCCGGATTGTGCAGATTGATTTTCTGTTGTTGCAGGTATTCCAAAAACGGAGCCTGTAGTCGTTGGCCGTAGACAGGAATTCGACTGAATTTGGTGAACGGAAAGAGAACAGTAATTAAACTAATTAATCGCGATAACATCAATGGTTTATTTATTTTTTAACATCAAATTTAGATTAGGTTATCGACACCACTGAGGTTATTTTCACTTTTTCAGTCCACTGTTTCTGTCTACCACCACCATCAATGATAGCTGCATTCGGCTTATGCAAGGTAAAATAACTGGAGGTAAGACCAGAAACAAATTTCAAAATCACTCAATTTTAAAAGCCCCTATAGGTCATTTATTCTGCATCTTGACATTCCGGCTGATCATTCTTTAGACTACACACACACACACACACACACACACACACACACACACACACACACACACACACACACACACACACANCACACACAATCTTCATATCATCATCTTTGGCTTTTTTCCATCCACTGCCTGCCTCGGCAAACGTCGCTCGCTGTGACGACCTATTTGGCGACACGAGCATTACATGTCCCAACCAAAGTAATCTATGGAGGTCGACCACTTGCTCCAGTGGGCGACCGCGACTGCCTAAAACTCTGCGCCTAACCCCAGCATTGTTCGTACGGCTGCCCCACCAGATTTGTGCAATGCTGCATGGGCAACGGTTTTTTAACACTGGCAGTTTATCTTGATCCTGTTTTTGTAATGACCAGGTTTCTGCGCTGTATATCAGAACTGGCCGAACTGCTGCAGCATATACTCGACCCTTCACGGACAGCCAGATATCGCGATGGCGCCACAGATATCTCAAGTTGGCGGAATCCAAACGAGCCTTCTTATGCGAGCTGACAC